ATATTTTCTTGCTTTCTGGGTTATCTGAGACTTAGTATTTTTGATATTAAGCACAGAGATTTTCCAGGGAGTTCACTAGATTGCTGCTCGCCTTTTTCTGACGGCACCAGGTGGGTTAGTCCCTCCCTTGCTTCTACGCCCAGGTTCCAGCGTTTCAGAAAGGTCGCTGATGAGCATCAAGGGCAAACACCAGAGTATGGAGGGTCTGGGTTCAGCGAGGCTGGTTAGGTCCAGTTCCCTGGGTCCATGCGTCTGCTTAGGACGGTCTTTGTGAGACTGGTGGGACCCTGAGGTTCCTGGGGAGACGTTTAGGAGGGTGTGAGAGGGCAAAGGGGAGAAGCTTTGTAAGAACTTAGGGGCTGGTCAGCGCCTGCAACAGTGTGGAAATTTCAGAAGGGCTCAAGTCTCAGAGGATGTGTCAGGAGGTAGAGTGATTAAGCAGACCATCCATTTGGCAATGAAGGTAGTAAGCCAGGCTTTAATGAAAGAATGAAGGGATTTAACAGCTCTCCAAGTACGGGAAAGGAAAGAAAAAGGCAAATTCCCCGAGTGTCCACTAGGTGGCAGACCCGTTCCTGTTCTGAGCGCTTAAGAGTATTTTCCAGCGCTTTGGTGATGCTCAGTTATTAATAATCTCTGGGAGGGTTACTTAAAATGCGGATTTCTGGACCCCCTTCCAGAGCTTCCAATTCAGCAGTCGGGGTGGAGCCTGAGATTCTCATTTCTACCAAGCTTCAGGTTCTGCTAGTGCCACTGGCTGGTGGTCCACACTTTGAGTAGCACCAAAATGTATCATTTCAGACTCTGGGGAGGGAGGGGGCAGACCAGGGCAGGAAGAGGTCCTCATGGCTGAGCAATCAGTTCAAACTGCGACAAAAACTCTAAGGAAGTGTAACGTGGAGATAGAAGGATGGGGTGGGTGGGGAAGGCTGGGTAGGGGAAGGGCTTGGGTAATTCACTCCTGGTTAAAATAGCCTCTGACACTACAGCAGATTTGAATCGTGGACTCTGCAACAGAATGTAAAGGTTCCAGAGCTCCCATTCTAGTTAAACGTATTGCCAATTAATTTACCTAGGATGATTGTAGCAGATCGGAACAGAGGTATATACAGATTAAAATAAAAGCAACAGTCAGACCATAATGAAAAACAAAATGTTAGATACCTTCCAAAAATAAGCCCTAAAATTTAAGAGTACTATACACATAAATCAGTGATTCTCAAACTATTTGATAGAAAAAAAACTATTAAAAAAAATCTGGTTCACCCTGGGCCAATACATGGTTCTACTGCACAAGACTGCACAAGGCAGGTATGACGGCTCATGCCTGTATTCCCAGTTACTTGGGAGGCTGACAAGGGAGGAGCACGGGAGGTCAGGAATTTGAGATCAGCCTGGGCAACACAGGGAGATCCTATGTCTAAAAATTTTTAAAAATAATAAAAAAGACTTTTACATAGCTGAAGCCAGCCAACTGATCAGGTAAGTTTGGCAATACCCAACTGGTATATATCCTGTTCAGAAAGAGGAATCCATTGATCATGCATTCAGATGCCCTTGGCAATGTCAAGTTGCTATAAAAGTTTCTAAAGCTTACTCTCAATTTCTGTACTTGCATCAGTAAAAACAATAATGAACATTGTGGCAGTCCACAGTCCAGAAATCAGTCCATAAACCATGCTTAGAGGTGTGCTGGTCTAGCCTGGCCCGATGACTGATTAGAGAGATGGGCTTACTGCACAACTTCAACTGGTGAGTTTCTTCTTTGGATCCTTTCCCACAGATTTAACTGCTTGTTTCCTTAGGGCTATGTAGATTATTTGGGCCACATGCAGATTATTTTTATTTATTTAAAAAATTTTTTTTATTAAATCATAGCAGTGTACATTAATACTATCATGGGGTACAGTGTACTGTTTCTGTATACAATTTAAAATACTTTCACCCAACTGGTTAACATAGCCTTCACGTCTTTTTCTTAGTTATTATGTTAAGATATTTATATTTTACATTTAGAGAGATTCACATGTACCCTTATAGGATGAACCATAGGTGTTCACATGAAGATTATTTGAGGACTGTTTTGCCTATCTGTGGTGCTGGATATTATGAAAAGTATGCACAGAGCTTTTCTTTCTTTTGCTCCTCCCTGTTGTTGGTGCTTGTGTATTTAGCGTGTGGCTTAAGACCATTTTATTCTTCTAATGTGAAGCAAAAATGAAAAAAGGTTGGACACCCTGCTACACAGTAGGTCCTCAATAAACACTGATGGGTGAATGCACTAGTCTGTGTCCCAGCACTGAAACATCAAGCGTGCGTGGGGGCTAGCAAGACAGCCAGGAAATACACACCCAGTGTGGCTGGACGTCAAAATAGAACTCTCTTCCTAGTGACTATCCAGAGGTTGCTGACAAGCAGAGCAGATGAAGGACCACCTCTGTTGAGGAAAGACTAATCATGCTGCTGTCCTGGCCTCACTGGTACTTCACTAAATACGAACGAGTGAAATTTAGTTTATGAGATACCTGGACCATAATGATGTAGGCCTTCTGAACTCATTTTCATGCTGAACCCAGGCACTGCCTCACATCCACGTTAAGGCGGGCCCTGGTGGATACTCTGGAAACAATGGGAGAGTTTCTCATGTTTTCCTTTTAAATACTAAAACCTGGAGGAAGAATTTGAGTCATTTAAATATATTTTCTTATTAAATAATTCTCTGAGTTTCAGCAAAAGGTAGCTGAATGAATGCAAATGGATGATCAACTCTCAGCTCCCTGAAAATTCATGTTCCACCCTACACCCATCTGTCGCACTGCCTGTCATTCCTTTACCAGCACACAGTGTGGTCCAAAGAACTTGATAAAATCATGATTTAATAAGGCCTAGCTAATAATTATGGTAATGATGGCTGCTGTCCATCTATGTCAGGTGCTTTGCTAAAATACATTATTTATTTAATTGTATTAACAATCATGTAAGTTTCTCAAGGACAGAAAGCGGAAGAGCTAGGATTTGAGCTCAAACATATCAGTCTCAAAAATTTGTAGTCTTAACCACTTTTGTTTACTTAGAGTCTTGCAGCAGACAGAGACTGTTTCCTCATTTTTTTTTTTTTTTTGTAGAGACAGAGTTTTATTTTATCGCCCTTGGTAGAGTGCCGTGGCATCACACAGCTCACAGAAAACTCCAACTCCTGGGCTTAGGTGATTCCCTTGCCTCAGCCTCCAGAGTAGCTGGGACTATAGGCACCCGCCAGAACGCCCGGCTATTTTTTGTTGCAGTTTGGCCGGGGTTAGGTTTGAACCCACCACCCTTGGTATATGGGGCCAGCGCCCTACCCACTGAGCCATAGGCACCACCCCCTGTTTCCTCTTGTTTTTAGGGTATACTGACAAACTGAAAAGTATAGTGTTGGGAGTACTAGGTACGTCAGGCCAAAATTTCTCATAAATGATGGAGATATAGGTGGACTTATGAATGAATAAATGAATGAATACAGGTACCAATTGTGCATATGTCAAATTTAATTTATGAGGTTTTTAGGTCATGAGGATGCTGGAGTTTCCTATTGGAAACTTATAAAGTTTGAAGATACATCTGTTCACAAATTCTAGGACTAACTCTCAATTATATAACATTTCAAACAAATTGCGCACGTGCACACACTCTCACACACATACTCTTCATCCTGACTTCTTTGAGAAACCTTATTTTGCCCTTTTTCTGAATAGTTCTTCTAGCTAAATAATAAATACGAGGGATAGTTCAATCACAAACCTTTCCAAAGGGAACCTGTATTCAGTTTTGAGTGTATTCAAATCAAAGCTCCTGATACTCTTTCACTATTATTTTTTTGATAACCCTATTTTCAACGGAAACAATCTGCACATTCAATTTCCCAGGTAAACTGGTAGTTCCCAGGAGCTTTCAAAGTGTTTTCAGAAAAGCTGAAAGACCAGCTCTTTTGCAAGAAGGATAAATATAATCATGTATTTATGTTCAAGTTAGAACAGTCTGTGAAAGTCCTTCACGGCTCATATATGGGAATCTTTGCAGACTTCCATTGTTATATAATGGTATATGACTATGAGATTTTCAACACACAATTTAAAACTTTACCATGACTCAAAATCCTTAAAGAAAAACAAAAAAGACCTTTTTTTTTTCCCCAAATGTTAAATTGAGAAAGAATGGAAGTTACATAAACGTGGACATTTAAAGACACACAATGACTTCGTGCACATGACAGACACAAAGTGATTTAAGAAGCGACGATTTTGGGGGAGCTCTAAGACAATAAAGCGATCAGCAGAGCGACATCTGTCAGGGCGGAGGCAGCCGAGGTGAAGAGCAGTTAAATCTAATGCAATCAGGAACTTAGGCCAGTTTAACATTATTTTTTTTTTTCTTACGAGGTGACAACCTCCTAACACCATAATCTCTCCTTTTAGGATGATGACACAAGGACTTATAATGAGTAACAGACAACCACTTAAAACCTCTCCTTAGGATGAATTGTGTATTAAGGTGAAAGGTAGGCACGGACAGCCCATTAGCTCCTGGAACAACGGGGAAAAGAAAATGTACACACAAAAATGGTAAAATGGGGTAGAATGTGGGAAAAGAAATATACACACACACGTCAAAGCAAATAGTTCATACAACTACAGCAATGTCTGTTTCTACTCAGATCCCCAAACAGAACGAAAGCCAAAACTAACAACTCTTCTGCTAATTAGTGAAGTATAAAAATGCCTTTTCCCCAAGAGTCCCTAGCTCGGTATGAAACTGCAAGGAACGGCTTTCCTTGGGATCTCACTTATTTATGTATGTTTAAAAGAAGATCTGAAGATAAAGAAGCCCGGGAACAGAACGGTTGGGGAGAACACGTGGACACCATTCCCCGGGAGAAATGGAGCCTGGGGCACACAGTTTCAGCAGGAAGGTTTGTATCCCTGTTGAAACATGTGATAATAGTCTCATAAAAATCGGGTTACCTTTACATTTCTTTTCTTCTGTTTGGAAGGTCTGGGCACTTGAGACACTCTGATCGTTCACATCGTCATGGTCCAGATGGAATATGGAGCTCGTCCAAGTGGCCTGGATGAGCTGTGGGGACTGTTCATTCTTGAGCGAGCTGCGCCTCTCTGGATGGCTCTTCCTGTGCAGGCAGGCTTCAGACATTCCTAGTAGCTTCCAGTCGTGCTCTCTGTCTGGACAGTGCTTCGGTTTGTCCCAGGCTGGAAGGCCATTTTCTAGAGGGTTGAAAAACACGAGATGACGAGCTGTTGGCATTGTCAAGGTTTTGCAGAGATGCAGAGTTTTGGAAGGCAAGTTGTTTCTCAATTCTTTTAGGCTGACAGTATTCACATGCCACTTGACGGCAGTGATAAGATGCAGAATTTGTCAGCCTTGGGCGTTCAGCCATGGCAGTTGGATTGCCTGCCCGAGCCATCAACACATCCCCCTTATTTTAAGTGCCTAGAAAGACATTACTTCCTCCATGGCGAGGCTGTGCTTTTAACCAATCCCACTTCCACAGCAGTGGTGCAAGGGCAAGTTTACACCAATTTATGTTACTGCTTAGATGACCATGTGAGGTCTTGAGGGTCAGGGCTGGCCATGAACACTTTTCAGATCCTTAGGACACAAAACACCCAGGATTCAACCTTGTTTGACTTGGGTTTTATCACAGGCTGACCTGAGGGACACCCTGTTACTTAAATGGGACAGGCTCACGTGGCCACACCGAGAGCGACAACTCTGCTCTTACCATCTTCTACCCTTCAGAGCCTGAAAGAAACCCCAAAGAACTGGATCTTATATCAAACAGAAGTTAGACTTATATCAAATAGAATAAGGGACTTCGGTGTTGTCCCAAATTGGCAAGAAGGTCAGTTGAAGAGAAGCAGATAGTGCCTTAGCTGTGGGCAAATTAAGAGCCCTAATGATGGAACGATAAGTCCAAAAGCTCTTTGGTTGGCTGGTTAGTTGTTTATGTACATTGTATTGTTTTTTGTCTATTTAATTTATAGGGATTTGAGGATCTGGCCTCTAGAAAATGAAAAAAAAAATTGAATGTAATGAAAAATTTCGCAATTAACTTTTCCTAGTGTTGAATTTTATCTCTCTGAGTATCTTTAGTATACATGGGTATAGAGAGCAAAAATGAGCAAGCTAATACATGTATATGTATTTGTATGCATATTGTACCCATTAAAAAACATAATCCATCTGGTCATCCACATTTGCAGAAATTCTTAGGCTACTGTTTGTCAGAATTAGAAAAAAATATAAATAGTGCTCTTCTCTTTTAGTGATCACATACAGTGATTGAAAGACTAATTTACATGTGAATTTTCTTTCAGGCTGAAGTTACCGGAAGACCACGGACCCCCACATCTCTGGTGTCTAAGTCAGTCCTGACCTGTGCACATCGCAGGGAATTTTCAAGCCGCCTTTCAAATACTGACAATGAACTTTAACTTATTTAACACAAGGGTTGAAAATGGTTTGGGTTTTCAGAAGCACTCTCTCTAAAGCTGCCTGACGTTTTCAGTTGATGTTGGTTAGAACGATTTCTCTAAAAGTGTAAATTGCTCTCAGTCACTTTTGGAAGTTGCATTCACCCTTCTGGGTCTTTGTGTTATCACGAGAAAATCTGGATACCTGTGCACACTTTCTTTCTTTCTTTTTTTTTTTCTGGCTCCAAAACTTATACTTTTAATCATCACAACATCACCTCTGATTTACATCTCTGGATGTCTTTACAGAAGAGCTTTTAAGAAATCAAAGACACTTGGGGAGCAATCTAAGGATGGAATCCTTCCAGATTTTTATGTCTTTTTAAATTATTATTTTTTCCAAAGTCTCAAAAATAGACAACTAATATTTATAAATAAAAATAGAAGATAATTGCAAAAAACAGATCATGCCAAATCTTACAGACAATAGAAAAAGAAGAAATACTTCAAATTCATTCTGTTTCATCTGGATATACCTGATATTAGAATTAGAAAAAATATATTATTATAAAGGGAAATTACAAACATATTTCATTTATAAATGAGGATGCAATATCCTAAACAACATATCGACAAGTTGGATTAAAAATTATTGTTCAAATAATGTACTTCAGTCAACATTAAATCTAATTTATGTGAGAATTAGTCACTATTTTCTATACTCTATTTCTATGCCAGGAGAAAACCATGACCACCACCACCACTGACAAAGTAATAATCAGCACAGGATTTGTTTGGTCACAGTCAGTGGAAATGCTGGGGCTTGAAGTAGCTTAATTTGGCCTCTAGGCAATAAGTTTCTTTTAACAAATTGTACAATATGCTAGCCTTTGGGTGTAACATTTGATCTCATTCAGATGAGAGTTCTGAAAATTCACTCCATGTCTAGGGCTGTGCTGGGCTTTGTATCAGGCAAGTTAAATTCTTCCTTCTCAGAGTTTACATGGCACTATTCATTGAATGGTGAATCAGAAAGGTCTGGATCAGTTCTTCCAATTATCAACCTGGCCAGCTATTGGTGCAATTACAGGCACTTATTCTCACCCATTAAAAGGAAGCAACAGATTGAGTTCTTGGGAGGTTGAATTGCATTTCAAGTTAAACATATCTGTGGAGAACTCATTCAAATGCCTATTATCCATGAATGTTTGAGCTTTTCATGAACTAAATATAAAGCTACTGAACGCAAGGATTGATTCAAGACCCGAAGATATTCGTTTTATTTTTACAGACGTGAAATGTCTTCTCACCCCTACATGTTTCCATGATAGCTACTTTATTTTCAGGCGCTCTAAATCTTCAGCAAATTGCATCCTGTAAAGCTTCAGTAATGTTTAATTTAAGTAATGTTAAAGTTCTCACGCTATTTTGCAAAGACTTTAATATTTGATTTTTTCTACAGAAATTCTTAAAATTTGGTATTGATTCCCCCGACCCACTGGAAATTAAGAAATATAGCCAGGGTGGCACCTGTGGCTCAAAGGAGTAGGGCGCCGGCCCCATATGCCAGAGGTGGCAGGTTCAAACCCAGCCCTGGCCAAAAACTGCAAAAAAAAAAAAAAAAAAATAGAAATACAGCCAAACCAGGTTAGTTTCCTAGTGAAAACCTGCTTGGATGAGAGATGCTGAAAGGGACTCCACCCCAAGGGAACATTCCCTCTTAACACACAGCCTAATAAGAGCTTTGCATAGTATGTCCCTTGGGTTAGAAAGAAGGGGGTTTCTTCTAAGCCTGGGAGGCTGTATTTGGGGTGAGGAAAGGGATAGTATTGCCTTCTACTTTCCACAGAAAAGCAGCTGACATGGTCTGGGAAAAGGCCTCCATTCATGGGAGGCATTTACAAGCTCATAATTACTGTCTATAATTACATTCACAATAATGATATTCAGTTGCTTAATTGGCAGGTTTATTGGTTGGAGCACTGCTGGGAAAGACTGAGAAGTCCTGGTTGGGTCATGGGAACACTCAACAGGGATCTATTTAAGGAGGATTCTTGATTCTTATCATCTCAGGAACAGGGGGCACATGTAATTCCTGGTCCATTCCCAAAGAGAAATATGATGACTACTACACCAGGCTCCTTACATTCTATCTGCTGGATAAACTATTGTAGGTGGAAACACAAGTGACCCCCACATACATATGGTTGGCAATAATGGTTTTCAGTGACTTCTTGCTATTATTATCCCTTATGTCCAATGTCCACATCTTTTGGTGTCCTCAAAATTTACTCCAGGACATTTTTTTTTTTAGAGGCATTAATATCCCCAAAGATTAAGTCAGGGATTCGCACTTTGGCTGGCGTATGAAACATGTATTAAACCATACCAAAGACCAGACTTTCTGAAGGTGGAGAGGCCTGCACATGTGTATATCTACCAACCTCTCCAGCTCATTCTGATATAAAACAGAATTTGAGATCTACAGGGTTAACACAAGTTTTATATAAAGAAAATAAATTGGGGGTGCCCAGGGAAGCATGGATATCTCAGCCCAGCTGGGTGCTGCTGGGTGGCAGTGGGGCGCTACAGTTCGATTCCCTGGGCTGTAGTGTTGGAAAGCCCCCGCAGGCTCAATGTGGCTGAGCTTCTGCAGCTCTGGACATGTGTCCCCCCACATGATCCTCCTAGGCAGATGTGGGTAGCTGTCATCTCCTACCCTCAGTTTTGTCCTGGGTGTGGGAATTGCAAAATGCAAGAATATTGCAACTGTCAAAAAAAAATACAAATAAAAAAATAAAAAAAATTATTGGGCCAGGTGAGGTGACTCACTCCTGTAATCCTACATCTTTGGGAGGCCTATGTGGGTGGATCCCTTGAGCTCAGAAGTTCAAGACCAGCCTGAGCAAGAGTAAGACCCCACCTCTATAAGACAGCTAGGCATTGTGGTAGGGACCTGTAGTTCCCCCTACTTGGGAGGCTGAGGCAAGAAGATCACTTGAACTCAAGAGTTTGAGGTTGCTGTGAGCTATGAAGCCATGGCACTCTATCAAGGGCAACAAAATGAGACTGTCTCAAAAAACAAACAAACAAAAAAAACCAAGGCTCGGTGCCTGTAGCTTAGCACCTAGGATGTCAGCCACATACACCAGAGCTGGCGGGTTTGAATCTAGCCTGGGCCTGCCAAACAACAATGACAACTATAACCAAAAAATAAATGGGTGTTGTGGCAGTCGCCTGTAGTCCCAGCTACTTGGGAGGCTGAAGGAAGAGAATTGCGTAAGCCCAAGAGTTTGAGGTTGCTGTGAGCTGTGATGCCACAGCACTCTACTGAGGGTGACACAGTGAGACTCTATCTCAAAAAACAAAAAACAAAACAAAACAAAACAAAACGTTTTACATAGCCTTGGAGTAAATTTTTATTATTGTTCAAAAATCCATCCATTTTTGAATAGTGAAGCATTAAGTCAGATGTTAATTGGATGCCATCTTATAGATCGCAGGTATGGATGGAAATGAAGGTTTACTCAAAAAGCCTGCTGTTCTGAGCATTAACTGGAACATAATACACAAAGGAGTGGAAATATATATATGACAATAAATACATATACATAAAATATATATTTAAAAAGGTGTATCCTAGAAATGATCGCATCTTGTTATTTACATAGAACATGAACCCTTTGCTCTTTCATGTGTCCCAGCTTTTAATACTTTCCATTCACAATTAAGCAATTTAATTTGTCAGTTAGGATGAATAAATAAGTAGAATTGAAGAAAATAACCAGATA